AGCTATCTGTTTGCAAAATATCACCCTCTTATGATGGAGGAATCGAGCAGGTACCGATAAGGTCAGACGACGTGTTTTAGGAACAGGTAGTCTCCCATTTGAACAAAATCATTTCACTGCATAATCTAAGGTCGCTAGGGTATGGCCTGCCATTCCATGCGTTATTTGCAAACATTGGACCAGACTTGACAAAACAGAGAAAACGGTGAGCCATAAAATTTGCGAAGAGAGTCAAAAAACCTTTGTTCGGATCTGGCTTCCATCAAGGCTTCCAGGTTTCGAGGCTGGTTTTCAAAAAGATTCAGTTTGTTGTTAGTCGGAGAAACTCTATCGACTATATAATTGAATCAGATCCATTGAAATGAATGCTTTTTTTGCATGGTTTTAATTCCAAAAAGAAAAAGAAAACATACTGTGTGGAGTGAGCAACGCAAAAACGTTTTGTTATCCTCCACTGGAAACCGTTTGCTTTCGGTTCGGTTCTCTGAGACTGTAACTGTTGAGCCTTTTGTTGTCAAACCTTGTGATCCTCAGTTTTTTTTAACTACAAGCAATTGTTTACTTTATTCTGAATGGTATCTTTCTTCCGTGAAGTTATTTTTTTATTCAGTACGGAATTATAGAAGCAATTTCCGGGAAGTGGAAGCAACTGACCTGAGTTATGTTATGTAACGGATATGGTTGGGTCCAAGCACGCCGTTCACCGGGGCCGATTTGATGGCGACTGAAACCGTTAGATCAACACTCCTGTTATTGATCCTTTCACTTGTTTTATTCAGTTATTGGAATGCGATAGAAACTAAAGTTTGGCACACTGTGATTCTTTTGCACTCTTTTACGACAAACTTTTCATACAAAACAATCCGTGATATTCAAGTATTCATCTTGCACAGTGTGGTAAAGAATTATTAATACTTCTGTGCGAAATGATTCACAGTAATTCAAAAGGATGCATGGAAATATTGAAACCTTTTTCATCGGTAGCGTAGTGAAGATGATGGACAGAAATCAGTAATCACAACCACCATTGCAATCCAAACACGAAATCATGTTGACAATCTGTGGTGATCTAGGCCTACAAGATGACGCGTGACAGCTTTTGGACAACTGCGATCAATCAGATTTCAAAGGTGACGTCAATGACTCGCATTCGTGTCACTGCTACTGACTGCATACCATAGGCAGATCGTGCAGTCTAAACAGAAGCATAATGATGCAAGCTATACTGGAATGCGATTGATGGAATCCTGGATAATCAATGACCTTCTTTTGTACATATTATTTAATCTCCCTCCTTTCTTCTAATAAACGAACTACCATTCCTATGGCCTTTTCCCCACGTCTCAGTTATGTGAGATATTACGTGCTAATGCCAGTACGGTTCATTGCTTACTTTATCCAGTCCGTGATTGATAGTCCTTGATTCGCATTTCACGGTTTGTATTCCGAGTTCAGCGCATACTACTACTACCATCACTACAATGTCCCCATAGGTGAATGCTGGGCGACAACGTCAGCAGCGGGAGATATGGATGGTTTGCATTCTGCAGTTTGTGACACATCAAGATATATTGCACTTGAATTTGGCTTTACTGAGCAGAATATACTCCCAGTTATCGTAATATCTCCTTATAAAAAAGGCAGTTCAATCAATTGACCATCTTGGAGATAATACTTTGCGGACACTTCAGCATCTTACAATCTCCTTGTAAGCTTGGTTGGTGTGTTGTGGCCTGCGGTCGAGTGAAACGTTTACCGTGCATCACGTGTTTGACCGTTGCGACCTGCCACCACACGCACGGACGCACGTCATGCGGACTTACCCTGTTACAAGGTCGATCCACCTCAACGAATCAGAGGTCAGTATTGATCTCTCCTCATTGATTGGTTCGTTGACTGCCCAGCGTGATGACACTCCTTTTGGTAAGACTTGCGCCAGTTCTGTGCCTGCCTGTCTGCGTGTTGACGCTTTGCTTGCTCACCGGCTTACGGACCGGCCACGTTTGCGTTTACATACTGGAAATATAATTACTACTTAATTCACTACTTGCGTACTTACTGACTCATACTGGATACAACAGTGTGTACGGACGAATGTAGAATGATTGCAAACGCGGGAACAACACGGATTCAATTCAACCAAAGACTAACCAACATTCTTCCCATCAATGATCGAAGCCCTGGCACAATTACTCGAGCAGGTTAAGTCTTCTTGAACAATTGAACCTATGTCCTTCTCACTTGAGGTACGTGGCAGCTGATTTCCGAGGAAATACGAGTATCTATTCTTGTGACGTACAGATAAGACTTCGCATTTAGAAACATTGAATTCAATATCGTTCTCCTTAGACCGTTGATGAGCTGCGTTAAGCGTTTCTTGACGTGATAGCGACCAGTCGAGTTCTGCTTCCGTTTTCCAGATTTTTTTGGTCTGCAAACAGTATTATTTTTGGCCCTAAAAAATTCGGTAGATCATTTAATATAGAGAGGAAATGTCGGGGACTAAGTACGGACTCTTGTGGAAAACTGCGGATAAAACTGGTAGAACCGAATAGGGAATCAGTAACTCGAACTGATAAGGTCCGTGGTCGGAGGAATGCTCTAATCCAATCAATCACAAAAACTCAAATGCCGTAAGTGTAGAGGTTCTGCAGTAAAATTTGGTGGTTTATCTGATCAAATTCGTTCGAGAAGTCCAGATAAATCGTATCCCCTTCCTCAACTGTTCTGGTCCATTCCGTCAAACAAGAAGCAAGTTGGTGGAAAAAGGTTGCTTTTGTCTGAACCCATGTTTAGCTGTCGGAAGAATTTTGTATCTTATGAAGTATTCCATCAGTGCATCTGCCACAATTAACTCCATGACTTTCGGTAACACCGGAAGCAGGGTTGCAGGTCGGTATAGTCAGCGGGGTCACTACGACAGCTACCTTTGTATATGGGAGAAATAACTCCTTGTTTTCACGATTGTGTTATTTGGACGGACATTTGTTAGAACAGAATGGCTAGTAGTTCGAATATGTGATGCGCCAAAAAGATATGAGATTTCGAGTGTATATCGCCCGCACTTGGTGTTGCATCTTTTTCACAAAGCCATTAACGTTACTTTTGCTTTTCCAGCAGCAAGTGTTACGTTGCTTGGTGAAGGGCGCCGCCCTCCCCCCGAGGCAGTTAGGACTAAACGGACATTATGACCACTTTCGAATTTCATGTTTCACTTAGTGTTGCTGTTGCTAACTGAAACCGATCTCTAAATTTTATATGGCTGGTGGTGATCGACATCAGTGCGGTGATTACGAGTCGTAGACCTCAGTGACCGGTCAAGTGCATTAAACACAGTGCTTCAAAAGGATTCCGGAATTAGAAATGCGTCACACGCACTTTACACGGTAAGGATTTCGTTCGACTGAGTTGGATAGAAGAATGTCTTCGACAAGGCACCACGACAGTTCGGGTGTCCGTTTCACTATCTGGTTCCGTGGGATTTCAAGATGATCTGTGCTCGGTCCGCATCTTTTTCTAATTGTTCTAAACGAACCGCCGGGCCATAAATATGCATGTTTGCCGAAGATGCAAAAACTGAATTGTTGTGACAGCCTGAAGCCCCAATAGTACTTCGAAGAGAGCTTTTTAATGGTTGATTGAGAATGAGATTGAATTCAACACATCAAAATAAACTGCTCTGTTCCATTCGTCACAACACGCGGTGTCCCCACTTCTTTGGATATCAACAACTTCCATATGCTTCGAATGAGAAGGATTATTGTTCAAGACGACCTAAGCTGTTTGATTAGCTGCGCCAATGAATCATTTGTCGGTTTTGCTAAAACGATTCTTTGGAAACTTCAATCCCATGATGTTCCCACATTTGTTATCAATCAACATTCTGCCCCACATTGAACACGTCATTCAAGCGTGAAAGCCACGACTGCAAAGTGATTGCTAGATTTTGAAACGTCCCTAAGGACTAGCCACGGAAATTGTCAAAGGACTGCATTCCATTACCCATGTGGAAAGTCTGCAATAATAAATAGGCTTGCACTCCCCTGAGTATATAGCAGAATTCGAGAAGACTTAGCTTTGGTGCATAAAATGATACCTAGCCCTGACTATCCACGTCTTTCACTGTTCATCTTGTCGTCTAAAATCCACACGTCAGAGGGTAACCATTCAACTCAGTGCCCCAAAATTGTCAAATGGAATTTCTGCGTCATTCTTTTACAATTATAGTGTGCAGTATTTCGAATCCCCTACCAGATCATGCTATTTCTAGGCCCTTAATTGATTCTTTCAAAGATGGACTGGATGAATCATTGGTATATCCTAAATTGCAACATCCATGGTAGTTGTGCATTCTTTAATTGGCAACGCCATTTAATTTATTCTTTTTATTATACTTGAATGCATCTTTAAGGTGGCCTTGTAGTGTTCAGTTTATTGTGGATGGGATCAAACTAAGACGATAATCCACACTCTGGCCGCCAACATACTCGATCAATTTTATCCGTTGTAGTGTAAAATTCACGCAACATAAGTATTTTGATTGTCACCATACTGTGTTTTAGCTCCGACAGGATGATTGCTTTGTTTTCAAAATTCTGTCCACAACCATTCAAAACCTCATTTTTTTAGCAGCTTCGCATTATTGCGATGTTATTACTATTATTATTATTACTACTACTACTAAGCGACAACTAGGAGCACAAGGTATGTAGTTGTTAGTAAATATTCCGGCTTTTCTAATGTTAAATCACAGATAACGATGAACTGGTATTGTGAGGGTTCGACCAATCAGTTCATCCAGACACAACCGAATATTCGTTTTAATGCTTTCTCTGACTGTTGGCTTTAAAATGGGATAGGGAAAATACGGAAAAACAGACTGAATAGGAAATCAAATCATAAAATGTACTGTAATGATATGAGCTATTGTTAAGTGAAATAAATTGTTCAAAAGCAGATATGCTCTGTCAAAAGGGAAGAGGTTGTTTTATACATGGACTTTAATAGCCGTGTCCACCTTGTCCGTAGGCAAACCAAGGAGCGTTCCACAGTGTCGAATCGTATCCATGGTCTGGTTGACCGGACCCATATAGATCAGTTTTTCGATGATAATGTGGAACTGCCACATGCTGGTGGTGATTGCTTGGATGGTACATACCTTGATTCGAGATTTTAGTCAATCGAAGTTTTCTATGGTCCTTTTCTTTGCCTGTCCATTTAGCCTTCGGATTGTCATATTTCGCTTTGAGAATGCCATCCCCGAATCCGTATTTGTCAGACCCCCAATCAGTCACATCCCATCTAGGTACCGACAGGCGTCTTCCCTCCTGCTTGCCAAAAACATGAGGGTACGGTTTTCTTCTATACCAATCTCCGTAACCATCACGATCGGAGTAGCCAAAATTTACACCAATACTGTCAGCCCCGTATCCATAGTTGTTCGCCAGATATGGGCTTGCGTAAACATGATTATTGTACGGATTCCAACCATACCAGGGATTTTCGTATCCGTACGGGGCTGAGCTAAACGGAGCGTAACCGTAACCGTAATCCCCGTAGTCCCATCGAGGTGTCCAACGGCCCCAACCGTGTGGACCGCGCCAATCCATTATCCATGGATTATACATGTGCATCATCATCATGGGATGATACGGACCGAAACCCCATCCGCCAAAACAATACACGGAACAGGTGTTTAGGAGGAACAGAATTATCACTGTACCGACCATGGCGGAATTAGATGTGAAAACCGGTCAACGGAAAGAGCACTCAACTTATATGGTTAACAGGAAGAAACATGTGAAGAAAATGTTCTCGTTTTACAATCAACCAAATCACGTGTTTATTGCACTCGCGGCAGTGATTAGTGCATTCCTTAATCGATCTGATCAAAGTAATGCGCCGTTATGATACGTCAAAGATGTAAAAAAAATCTTTTGCATTCATCGAAATGACGTCAGTTCCGGTTCTCGACTCCCATTAGGTGCAATGTACGCCTGATCGGAAGGCCAAACAGAGAACGAGAAAGGTCCGAACAAATAAAGGCGATTCGGTCTCGGTAGTTCGGGGGATGAAACGAGTTCAAGAATAATGGTATTGTATCGCAAAAGGAAAATGAAACAAAAACATGCAGAGGTCGACTTTGTGCGAAGTGCTTAATTGCGTAAATTTTTAGTGGGCTATGGAATCCTCTTTTTTTCTCCCTCTAAAAATGTAGCATTAAGTATGGCTTTTTGCGACCAACTTGTTATTGGCGTCCAGTAGTTGCTGGATCAGTCAATAATTGTGTTTACAAACAATAGATCAAGCATCCTCGGTAAATTCATCTACAGACTGAACCATCTGAAACAACCAATTTCGACCGAATGGTAAATGCATTTTCTATTGGACACCAAGATTTTGGTTGTACACGAGTGAATCAGTGGATTCTATTACATGTGGAAACTAGATGGGGTACTGAGAAAGTTTATCTCCCCCTCCCCCCCGTCACCCAACACATACATACACACACGCACCTCCGGGATACCATTCATTTGGTTTTGAATGGATTTTCACAGATTACGAAACCCAAAAAGGTTGAAATAAACACAAAATATCTCTCTATTTCTCATTTCATATTTTTTCGCTGAATATATAACCTTCAAATTTTCACAACCGGGCGCAGCCGGTTAAATACAACTGACATTCAATGAAGATTTTGAGCAAGTAATCCGAAATACAGAACGTGTTCAACATTAGAATAAGATATTGTCAACTGAATTTCGACACAGTATTGTTCAGTGACATCAAACTCATCAGGCCGCATAGAGAAACGCAAAAAATAACCGCATCGAACTTGTGTGTATATGCGTCCGCAATATTAAAAGGCTCATGTTCCCAACAAATCACATGGCCTTTGTCCCCGTTAAGTTACACCGACTGTCTCTCTCGCTCTCTTGTCACAAGTCCTCAAATCATAAAATTGATGAAGCCCAGTGATCAATCACATCTGGAAACATATGTTTAAGAATAACAACTCTTGTTTCAAAGCAAAAAGTCTCGCTTGAAAATACAATGCCTGACAGCCCACTTGCTTAACATTAGTTTATTCGCCAACAACTCTTATTTTCGCTTCTCTACTTGGTTGCTGGTTTAAAGCATTTATATAAACGAAGGGTACAAGTAGAATACTACCACTTCACAAACACTGACGATGTCCCGTCGACTGGTAATGAAACATTTGCAACCAAATTGCCAAGCTCGGTGAACAGGTTAAATGGAATTCAGTTCACCCGAGCGAGCTACCAGAACCGATTTTCAGTGCTTTGTCAGCAAAGCAAAAGCCATATCTCGGCCCAGGCTTGATTCCGGAAAAAAAGATTGTTACGTTTTTCGGTTTTTCATGATATCCCGTAAATAGTTTAACCTAGTTTGTCAATCGTGTTGGTGAATTGTAAATCATCATATTGGGTTATGTGATATGCATTTAATGTATGGGTAAACTTAATGAATCTCTTTAGAAAAGATAGATTTGTACCCAGTGAAAATGTTTTCACAATGTATTCCGTGGGGCTGTCTGAGCACGTTAGTTTCATTACAATCTGGTGCGCCGGTACATGAGGTAACTATTGATACTGCAAAAGAATAAACTCACCTCATGCTGATCTACTTTTTCTAAGGTAATCTGTGGGTTGATACTGAAACGCTCAGTCAACTAGTGGTGAAGATTTACGGCCAAAAAGGGCTTCTTATGAAAGTGATTGTTATACATGAGCATAAAAAGAGAAGCCAGCAGCTCAATATGATTTGACAAGCGCTACCTCACTACGGTCGAATGAACAGCATGAGATGTTTCTCCTTAGGTGGAAGAGGTTTCAAAGCACGCAGGGAACGGTGTCCGTCAACTTGGTTGATGTTCGTTATCAACACCACGTGTAGAAGATTTTTCTCCAATGCCTGGTGCCCTCAATGTTCAATTTGTCTCAAAGTGCACTGCATCTTTGTACTCCAAATTCACAAAAGTCCATACCACATACAAAAAATTATCATGGTAAATGCATCTCCATAACGAAGAAATCAATTCAGCGATACAACCAGGTTACAAAACACAACATGACTTGAAAACCAGGGCCTTCGACTTGCCCAAACACACATTGTGCAATTTTTATTGCACACATTTGTGTGATAATCAGCAGACTGGATGAACCCCCATAGTTACTTAGACCTACTATTCAGTGATGAAAACTGGCAGCCTAAGCCCCGGGACTGGAAGTGGCTAACTACATAAGACTCCGCTAGGATAGGCGAGGTATTGAACGGGACGATACCAAAGCTGCTTTCCGCCAAGTTTGGGTGGCGAGTTTAAACCTCAGACCATAGTGTTCAAAGCAAGCCGATGACAGCAACTGAAACACTGGGACATCATTATCCATTAGAGTGAGGCAGCAATTTAGATGTCAATCCGATCCATTCTTTTGCCGGTGACACCACCCTCCATTGCTCCCTCTCCTACTGCACTACTCGCCATACCCAAACCAACATGAATCGTGACCCTAGTGCAGTTAATGTGTCACTGGACTCCGATCCTGAACACATCTCCTGAGGCATTGCCATCCACGTTTCATTTAATTGTTCTAAAACCTCTATTCTTTCAATTTCTTCAAAACACCATTCATTCTTCTCTTGATTCCAATCAACTGCGCTCCACAGACTCTGTTTCTCTTCTTGGATTGCATATAACTTATACTTTATGCTGGTCACCTTTTATGACTCAGCTTGCTTTTCGTGCTGCCCGACAGAGTGGTGTTTTTATTTCGCGCAGGACGTTTTTTTCACCCTAGCTTATCTGCTACTGATTATTGTAGTCATGTGTGGGGTGCGGCTTTGCCTTTGTTTCTTTCTCTTCTTGATCGTGATTAACGAAAACCTATCCGGCTAACTGATTGTCCTTCCTTAACATCCGCTCCGCAGTCACTAGCCCATTGTTGAACAGTTGCTTCATTGTCCCTGCTCTACCGTTACTACTTTGGTTTTTGTTCTTCCGAACTTGCCTCGGCAGTTCCTTTTCCTGCAACTTCCCTCCCATGCCTCCCCATCCCGTACACAGACATCTGGTCATCCCTATCAGATTTCAGTTCCCAGATGTTGTACTTTTCTGCTTCAACCCTCTTTTCCCCCGAATTGACAAGTTTTGGAACACTCTCCCACTTTTGTTTCCCCTGCCCTCAACTTACAACCTCACACTCTTTAAACGCAGTATTAATAAACGGGATCTTAAGTGAACGTTCCCCTACTCTCCCTTTTACAGTATGGGGATTCCCCTTTTACTGTTATTCACATTGTGTAATAAATAAAAAATCGTTATTTGATCAGACATACTCCTTCAAATTATTATTCGCACATTCACGGTGGCCAATACACCCTATGGCACACTCGAGATGGGAATCTTTGTGAATAAGTTACCTGGATAACAAACATGTTTCATTAACGGAATTAATAAGATCCTGTAGCAAAGCACTTTTTCATTTTCGTGGAAACGCCCTCGCAAACGATAGGCAGTGAGTAAGACTAAACCAATAGATGCTAACAGACAATCCGCAATAGCATTTCTCGGATGTCAAGAACGTCACCATGCCATGGATCTTTTGGAAGGCTCGGGGATGGTCCATAGACCTTTTCTACTACGGAGGAAGGCGATCTCGAATCGCGGAGTAAGGCTTAATACTTGGGAATACCTCTATCATCATGGATGTAATAATCCTGGATAATACTCAACAGAATATTAGCATTTGTGAGAGAAAAGCGAAAATTGGCACTAGATGTTTGTTTTACAGAGAGTCAAATATTCCATTCTTATGCTGTAATTTGTCTATAGGTCATCACGAAGAAACTGTACCCTGACGTGGTGTGATGGCCTATACACCTCTATAACCCAACGAACTACACAGAATGACCTTTATCAAGCCAGATCTTATCATGTCTGGAAGGGCAAAGACTAGAGGTCAGAAAAAGTTCAGTCTCCCAGTTCTTCAGGTTGCGGGTTCGACTCAAGTTAGCGTCTCAGTTGGCAAAATGGTGGAGGAGTAATCGATGCAAGTAAATGGGCATCCACTTCGCTTTACTAGCTGCCTAGCGGTCGGATTCTTGTCAGATCTAGAGGGTTTGAACGAGAACCCTAATCATGCTCATGCTTTGCGGCACTACACCCTAAAAGTACCCGTACATTAAACTCTAACGCATACATAAACTAATGCGTGCACAAAATAATCACGATCGCACTGCCCATTGCATCGAGCGGGGAGGGTAGTGATAGGTGGGCTACTGCTTAGACAGCCCAATCTTTGTTTAATTCTTTGTCTTCCGTACCCAACCCTCTCCATTTACCCCTTCCTCCGACCCGTAACATTCCCCGAGATAACTCATTTGTCACTGGCCACAGTTCGTTGCATGACAGTAGTAGCTTACCACAAAATAGACTGTATATTCTAAAGCCTACTCAACCCCTCAATCTGGTGGTTTCCGATGTGAAGACTGACGCGGGTGAGTCAACGAGTGTGTGTGGCGCGTACAATGGAATCTTTNGATGTCGGCTGCGTATCGAAGACGCGAATTCAGGATCCTAATACTATAAGTCACCTAAATGCACTGGCAGTTCACCCGGGGGAGTTGGCCAAAAACCCTGATTCCAAACCAACCATGAGGAGACGTACGAACCAAACCCATACCTTTTCGGTTGTGGCAATGGTCACCG